CATCTTCTTGGCGTAGACAGCAACTGGTGGTGTATGGGCTGATTCCCTGCTTGGCATAACCCTTGTCGTCCTCGACATATAATCCATCTTTTTTGGTGTATGGGCTGATTCCCAGCTTGTTGTCCTACTTGGCGTAATCCAATTTTTAAATGTTCCAAGGATGATAAATAGTAGTTGTGGAAGATCCTATGAGAGTAAGTGAGTAACCACATGATGATTTACGCAATTACCTTTGAGAAATTCAAACGTAATTACCTATCAATCTATGGGGTATCAAATAAAATATCTAACAGTAGTTAATAAATTCTAAAAATATTAAGGTGCTAAATGGAATACATATGTAAGAACTTGAGCATAATTATGAAAACGTAAGGGTTTTAGTAGTAAAATAGTATAGCGCAAATGGGCTATTTTCATGTACTTCTGTTAGGGCATCCGCTATGAATTGCAATGTCTTTTCAGTATTTTATTTTAAAAAAATACGATGTTTACAAACCATGTTGTGGGGCTAGCCCACAACATAACATTATTATTTAACAGAACATAGTCCATTCATTTAGTCCGGATCTGTTGTGGCTGTGTACTCGCAATAAGTTTTTGCGTTAACCATGTAGGAATTTATGTAAACGAATAATCATTCACTTATCCGGATCTTCTACGAAAATTCATCTAAACTACATATATAACTTACCTTGTGTTCTACTTCTACAAACGCTAAATAAAGCAGCGGTCATGGCAGGTCCTTCTCTATTAGCGTAAACCATAACTATATTAACGTAAACCAAGCGCAATGTCAATATTCTCTGGTGACGGCGGTGACCATATCCTCTCCCACCGCATGGTTCTTGTGCATGGTCCTTCTCTATCAGCGTAAACCATAACTATATTAATGTAAACCATGCGCAACGTCTGTCTTCTTCGGCGACGGTGGTGACCATATCCTCTCCCATCGCATGGTTTACGTTGCACATGGTCCTTCGATATTAGCATAAACTATGACTATATTAACATAAACCATGGGCAATGTCTATCTTCTTCGGTGACGGCGGTGACCATATCGTCTGGCAGGATATCCTGGTGCTGGTTGGAGTTGTTTGCGTAAACCATCAGGACATCATCGTAAACCGAGCGCATGACTGTCAAAATGACGAGGATACCCTTACATAGAGTTTATGCACAATGCACAAAGCCTTAATGCGGTGGGAGAGAAAACACCCTTCCAGGCATCGGATGTGGACACGTGGAGCGCTCTCCTTACTGTTGGTATTTCTTAACGATATTACTAGAAATATAATTCCCAGCAATGGCACAGAAATACTTCTGGTATATTATGGTTATAGAGTTCATCCGCAAGCGCACGGATATACCATCGTAGCATTTCAACCGAGAGTATTCTAAGGGTATCATATTTATTTTATCCCATGGGAAGATCATGTGGAGAGAACTTAACTAATAATTTATATATTACTTGTGATAATCATATTCTAAGTAGGGGTTAAGATAATCCAAGGGTAGAGTGACACACAAGCATTAATTACTCATTCTCATGATATATTATCTGAGCTAAGTGGAAAGAAAAGAGAAAGAAAATCTACTCCTATACTTCTAATATACATAGTATACATACATTCTAGTTAACCGATATACTAGCTAATATCCTCTATCCGATGCCCTCTTGGTACTTCGAGAAGCCACCCCTGACTGCCGAGTTCCTTACGACAGCCCGTCATGACCATACAACCGGGGCTAAATACGGAGGAATACCCTCCCCAGGGAATTAACTTAGGATTATATACAGGCACGGAGGAATACCCGTACTGAGCTATCACCATCAGCGGCCCACCTCTCATCCGCAGCATATAACCCTAAATAATGATATCCTGTAATCTAGACACCACATCTAAACTACTAGATACTAATCTAATATCATCGTCATGACATAGAGTAATTGCATATGCAAACATTATACCCGTACCAAAGCATCTCCCAGATAAGCTAGCCGTATATTCAGTATAACATGAACATAATGTAAATTATTTCAATACCATAAATGTATATAGAAGAGTATTCTAATAAAAGTACAAAGCTTACAAAAGAGGAAAGGAAAGCTACTAGAGCCATACCCGAACTCTTCCGAAGGCTTCCGGACTCCTGATTTCTACTCTATTTCTATTCCACCAGCTAGATACTACTAAACTAAATTTGAGAGAAATGAGAGAGCTCTTGCTTGAGGTGTGTGTGTGAAGTGAGGATGAGAACTCCTTTTATAGCCTCCTAATGACGGTTGCGATGGTTGGAATGGTCGGAAATACCCTCTAACCGTCATTGGGGGCTAATCCACACCGTCCAAGCGAAGCCCTGGATTGATGGTGCTGAGGAGGGTTCGGCCGAACCGCCTAGGGCCGGCCCAATCCAGCCCAATTTTGGCCCAGTTTGTCATGTCAATTCTGAGTTCTTGGACCATTCATACATAAGTCTGGTTCTCGACCTCGTCCAATTGATTTATCGTCTGTGTTGATGTCGATTCTCCTCCACTTTATGATTATTCTCTGCAAAAGGTTAGTATACCTAATACTTGTGGAATATTATTATTCTAACATATATATGCATTCCAAGCATCACTAGTTCTCCTTTATTTTGGTAATATTGACGGTCGAAACTGATCGATAACGACCGTCAACACTTACCCAACCGCATTGAAGAATGACCATTTTTGTATAAGTTAAGGCGCTGTTTGTTTTTTATAAAGCAATTCATTGGATACTATATCATTGCTTTTGGCCATGTGTGTGCATTTTTCTAAAAGACCAATATATGGATTTAGGCTGATAATATATTTTGATCATTTTCAGGTGGTTGGTAAATCCATTTATAAGTGTTATTTTACTCGAGTGTGGTGATATTGTATGTTTTATTGGGACTTGAGCATATTTTGTTTTGGCAGTATGCGCACAATGTGAACCCAACACTCTAGAGAATTCCTTTACTTGCTGCATAAAGACATTTTATTAAAGTCATGTACCATATGATTTTTAAACATGCAGTTGGCTTTTAGTTATGCTTATTATATTTTTTAACAAGCAGTCGGTATATTACTTGGATCATGTTATTCAGGGATTCACACCGTATATACTATATATTAATATTAAGTCACTTGGTTAACTATAATTATCCAAAACCATTCGGTTGGTTAGATTATTTATTCCTTGACTACATGCTTAGTTTTTTCAAACTAACCACATAGTGGGGGGGCTACACCTAATTAGGTGCATCTAGTCGATGCACCTGGGTATGTATTCTTTATTATTATTTTCATCCCTTCATAGCCTTATGGTTTGGTAAAAGCACTCGGGAGACTATGGCGAAGATGATTGAAGCACAAGGCTTTGGATTAATTTGGTCTGAGAGAAGATTATCTTTTCGACTGTGAAGGTCTCAGGGGCTACTGTAAAGATTATCAGTACCATATACCCACACGACTGGTTTACCCGACAAGATATAGTGGATAGATTATGTTTATGGAATATGTAATGATAGACGTAGTAACAGCATATCTTTATGGGTCACTTGATTCTGATATTTACATGAAGGTTCCTGATGGAATCGACATCCCGAATCAGAAGGTAAATCATAACATGTATTGTGTTAAGTTGCATAAGTCACTTTATGGCTTAAAACAATCGGGCAGGATGTGGTACAATCGATTAAGTGAATTCCTTTCACTAAAGGGATACACTAAAAATGATGATTGCCCGTGCGTCTTTATCAAAAGTCTCCCACAGGATTTTGTATTATCTCGGTATATGTCGATGATCTCAACATCATTGGCAATACACAAGATATTAATGAAGCACGTCATCATTTAAAGACGGAATTTGAGACGAAGGATTTAGGTCAAACCAAATTTTGCTTAGGTCTAAAACTTGAGCATTTACCTTCTGGAATCCATGTGCACCAAAGTGCATATACCCAAAAAATTTTGGAGAAATTTAATATGGACAAGTCATATCCTTCCAAAACCCCTATGGTGGTTCGATCTTTAGACGTGGAGAAAGATCCATTTAGACCAAAGGAAGATGGTGAGGATGTACTTGGACCTGATTTTCCATATCTTAGTGCTATTGGCGCACTTATGTACCTTGCAAATAGTACGAGGCTAGATATTGCTTTCTCGGTAAATCTATTAGCAAGATACAACGCTGCTCCTACCAAACGCCATTGGACTGGAGTTAAGAATGTTTTTCGATATCTTAATGGCACAAGAGATCTTGGACTTTTCTTTAAAAAGAACCAGGATTCAACTTTAATTGGGTATACTGATGCTGGCTATCTATCTGATCCCCACAATGCTATATCACAAACAGGATTCGTATTTTTACAAGGTGGAACTGCTATTTCATGGAAGTCTTCTAAACAGACTCTGGTAGCCACTTCCACAAATCATTCTAAAATAATTGCATTATACGAGGCATCACGTGAATGTGTATGGCTTCGCAGAATGGTTAACCACATATTGACATCTTGTGGTATTGGTTCATTGGAATCACCTACCATTATCTATGAAGATAATGCTGCTTGTGTTGTTCAGATGGAAACTGGTTATATTAAGAGCAACATCACTAAGCATATTGCTACCAAATTATTTTATCCTCATGAGCTTCAGTAACATGGAGAGATAAACATCTTGCTAGTGGATAGATGCAGCAATATAAACGGGGTAGCGCACGAGACCTAAAAGTGGATAGATGCGGAGACAAGGGTTTAGACAGGTTCAAGCCCTCTCAATGAGAGGTAATACTGTACTTCTGTTTGGGGATTTGTATCCGCCAGATGTAGTATTGATCTGACGATCTAGTTGTAAATCTGCCTCCAAAGGGACGTCCTACCCTCCTTATATAGGCAAAGGAGCAACCTTACAAGGTAAAAACTTATCCCCATATGGTTTAAGTTTCCTATATCTAATCTACGATCTTAATAGACCAATACTACAGACCGTTCCATGATACACAAGTAAACGTAATACATGAGTTCTATTCTTATACATATATTCTATATACATGATCTATCTCCTATAACCAGTCGGATAGCCCAGCCATGAGGTACCCGGTACCCATAATCTCTACAACGGGGAACACAATAATTAAACATTAAACATGTCATTATACATTAGTAATACAAATAAAATGGAAGAAAAGGAAATACATATGGCTCCGACTAACTGGTGAGGACGACATGTGGACATCAATTTGGGAATGGAATGCAAGAAAACAGAAAACAAAATAATTAAATGCCCTGTGAATCCCAACAGAATTATCACCCTGACGAATTTTGAAGTGATCTGTTAATGTTTCTGCTTCAGTTGAGCGAAGCCAGCAAGTGCAAATATGAGGACATAAGTCCAAAAAAGATTCATCAGATTCCAAACCAGCGTCGCGGAAAAGCTTTTGAGCTGCCAGGATGTCCAGTTGAGATGAGAGGCCGTAGAAGGATACAGGTTCCAAGAACGTGAGAAGCCAAACCTGCGGTGCATCAGCAACATAAGCCTGAAATCTTGACCAAGAGGAACGTTCCCGTAGAACACGACAGCGATAGTGGCTACACCACCGATGCTGATGGCACTGAGAGAAATGTTCCACATCACCACCGAGACCCCGAACGCGAAGGCTACTATGATGCTCCTGAGGGCGACATGGAAGAGCCACACGGCACGCTGTGAGTACCGACAGCGGACAAGGGGATCCACCGTCCCGCGGTTCCCGTACTCGGCAAGGCTGAAGGTGGCCGCAACGGAACAGAAGAAAGCCAAGATGTCGGCGACGAGGAAAACCTTGAAACCGTAGAGGGCACCCAGTGCTGGCGTGCCTTCCTTTGGGCCTGTCGTTCTGTAGGACCCTGGCATGGTGAATGCTGCAGCGAAAGTCAGTGTCGCGATAAGCGCCGATGCGACCAACACGCTTTCAGTCGACTCTGAAAGGGTTTTCCCGTGCTTTTCTTGTTCTTGAGAGCTACCACCACGGATCAGTTCATCACGCCTACGAGGACTGAAGACGGCTCCAGAATGAGCCAATACCCTCACCATCCATTCTGTTGGGTTCTGCAGGGAAGGAGACTTGAAATGTCAGGAGATCTGTTTTGTATGTATTTTAATTTATGCCAAAATTTTGATGGTTTTATGCATATACCTGGGGAGAGGCAAAGTAGTCTTCCATCCTTATCACTTTTGCAAGATCGAGTGGTGTATAGCCTTCTAGGTTGACATGGTTGAGCTCCACGGCCTTATTCTGTAGGAGATACGTGAAGATGTACTCGTCTCTTTTCTTTACAGCAAGATGTAATGCAGTATTACCGTCGTTGTCCTCCAAATTCAGAGTTTCCTTGAACCTCGGATCTTTGCACACCAATTTGACTACTTTGTACTTCCGATTCTCAATGGCGATATGAAGCAATGTTCTACCTTTAACATTATCACGAAGAGTGGCACAGTCTTGATCGGCATTGACCAATGAGGTGATTGTGTCCATTGAACCAACAGAAGCAGCTATGTGTATGGGGAACATCCCATTGTTGTCGGGCCGTTGGGTGTAGTCCGTTCTGCGATCTTGGTCTATGCCATCAAGCAGCGCAGTTGTTACGCCCTGAACTCCTACTGATGCTGCAAAGTGAAGAGGTGTACTTCCAGACCAATCAGCTTTATTCATGAGATCTCCTCTCCTTCCTAGAATCAATTCAGAGTTCTGCCATCGAGTATTTCCGTTAATTAGTACCTAGCTAGTTATGATACCAATTGTGTCAAAGAATGTACAACCTAAATTCTATGGCAAAGAACAAATCAAACTTTCATTCCAAAATAAGCACTCAAAAAGATTCTGGAGGATGCACAGCCATTAACACGTACGTGAGCCTTTTACTGTTGCTAGGAGACTACCTCAAGATTATAATTTTTTTTTTGATAAAGGAGCTTTTATTAATCTCAGACGATTACAACAAGTTAATAGAACCATACTAAGAAAACTTCCGGCTTCTGCATAAATGCACATAACCAAAACACACACAAGCCCATAAAAGAGTTTGTAACAAGAGAAGGAAAGCAGTAAATAATGTATAGTGTTGATCAATGATTTGATCAATTATGAAAGCACATTGTTGACTATCTGACAACAACCAGATGATGCCAAGGGGAAAGGTGCTATGTATAATGAGTCAAGGGCGAAAGCATAACAAGCAAGTACTAATGTGATATTCAGGAGAAATACAAGCACCACCTGAAGGCTATGCGAAAGTAAATGTTGATGCAGGGTTCAGAGAGGAAGCAAAGCAAGTGCAGGCATTATTGTAGACATTCTCATAAAACCACTGGCTTATTGAACCGTTTTGAAAGATATCAGGCAGAATCGACTAAATATAAACCAACTCTGCATAATTATATAGAAAACAAAAACAACTTATACGTGTGTAATGCCACGCCAGCGTTAAGCAGGGTATACATCCCTTACCTGCACTCTGAAGAGCCGCAGCATGTAGCACATTTTGTCCATTTGGTCCATCGTAGGACAGATTCGCATCACCAAAGGTTAAGGTTAGCTTATCAACGATGTCTCTGTATCCCAAGGGGATGGCGAGGTAGAGCGGAGACATGCCGTTTATGTCCGGGACACGCGCTAAACCACTGTCCTTGCCCTTCAACTCTTCAATCTTACGTTCACAACGCTGCCTCACTGCCTCGTGCAACGGTGTCTCTGAGCGTCCACTTGTCTTCTTCAAGATCTCATTTGGTTTAGTGTTCAGTCCACAAAAATTGTGTTTTCGCTCCATGTCAAGGAGATGAAAAACCATATTGGTGTACCCAGCATTTGCTGCACACTCTAGAGCGGTCTTATTCTCGCTGTTGCGTGCGAAGAGACGTGTTTTATCCATCCCAGAGAGCAATGTCGCGCATTTCCTGTAGTTTTCACCATCCCCATTGGCTGCTACGACATGGAGTAGAAAACCCTCATCCTGAGCCTGATCGTTACCAGTGGCACCCGTGTTCTCAGAGTTATTGTGAGTTTCCCTTTGAGGCTGGCGGCAACTGGGTTATAAACATACATAGTTATAATTATTTAGTATATACCAAAGTAGGAGATTTGCACGCATATATATAGAATTAACACCATTTTGTTACATTAATAAATATACAAAATTGTAATTGTCATGGATTATTAATTTAAGTTTTCCATCGATTAAATATTATTTCTAAAATTTGGAATCAATGAATACAAACTCAATAGGTATTGGGTCAAGTTTTCCATAATTTAATAATTCGAAAAACTTGAAATTAACAAGTATTGAGTCGTACTAGTTCTAGAGCCCAAATTTTATTTTAAATTAATATTTCCTGAAATATTGAATTACTAATTAGCAACTCGTAAGTGAGGTGGAGTTGTAATATTTAAGAAATGTAGAGTTGTACTTGATATAGAATCCAAATTTTCTTTCCGACAAAATAACTTTTAAATACATAACTGATATATAAAAAGTTGATTTGGTTTCAGTCTAAACTTTAGTTTTATTTATATTTTACTAGTCTAATATTTTTAACTAAAAGATATGAAATGGTACCCAAAAATAACTCGTTCTAGCTGGTTCAGTGGAACTGAAGAAGTGAAATTTGAAAAAAAAAAAGAATCTAGAGATCCTAATTATATTGAACCATAAAATTTTGGGCCACCTAAAAATTAGGGGCCCCGTGCGGTTGCATGGCTTGCATGTGCCTAAGGAAGCAGTATACCTCGGTGGTTTTGGAGGGATTGATCCATCCATTTGAATAGAAACATTATCCCTGTAACAACAATTCATCAAACTCCTGCAAAAGTATAATTGATGCATTCAATTAAGACAACTTGCATATAGTGTTGTAGATCTGGATGAGTAACATATTTTGAATACTAGCCATCCTGTACATGGTCACATATCACTACCTACAAATCCACTTTTTTTTTTGCAATATATACATGCATGTGTATTATGAGTTTTAAACTTAAGACCTCCACCTCCCCAAAGAGCACCTTTACCAACTCACCTACTCAACACATATTGATTACTCATTCAATATTATTATTTTGTCTATGCATGTTCGAATCATTTAATATATATTTAATACTCTAAATAACTTCAAATGAAAACATTATCAACTAAAGAATTATAGATCTCATTGTGTTATAAAACTATTGCATAGAGAATATCTCCATTCGATGTCATTTGAATAATTCAAAATTTCATTTTTCAAAATAGATCTCACCTTAAACTATCTCAAATGAAAATATTGTCAATTATAGTTTTGTAGATCTAGTTGAGCTCAATGACTTTGATGTGGGGCATGTTTCCATCAGGTCATTTGAAAAAACTCAAAATTTCTTTTTTATAAGTAGATCTCATCACTTGTAATGCATATACAGGGATTTCAATGATTTAAAATGGAAATGATGTTAGTTATAAAGTTGTATATATCATTGAGAGCAACAACTTTTATACAAGGCATGTCCCAAATCCGAGATTTTTTTTTGCAAAATTTAAAATTTTGAATTTTCCCTTATCAGTGATGGGTCATAATTGGCACCCGTTATCTGTGATATATGGTGTTAAAGACCCGTCAGAGATGAGTGGTCTCATTTATGATGATATTTGTGACGAGCCATAGTTGTGATCTGACAGGTTATAACTACCATCCGTCACAGATGACCTCACATCTATGATGGGCCCTTCCCATTAGTCATATCTTAAACTAGTTATTTTTCGGTCCGTTAGAGACAATTCATTTCTAAAAAGTCATGTTGACCCATTACGGATGACCCATCACTGATGTCCGGATATGTAGTAGTGCATGCGTTGTTCCATTAAAAATATCTAGCAAGATAATTAAGGGAGTATAAATGTTTAAAAAAAAGGGAGTACAAGTGTTTTTTATCGAAAGTAGAACTCATAACGAAAAGGTAACGTTATTTGTAATGGGAATAATAATAGTATAGTAGAATACTACTGTTTATTAGGCATAACTACTCCTGACAAACACTTGATAGTTTCTAATCCAAACATAAAATTGAATTAGACGTTGATAGGAAGAAGCATTTGACGTATTCTAGTCTTCATGACTTGCAAGGGTGCGCAGTTGCACGAACACGTACCAAGCACCGATGACAGAGTCCACACATACTCAAATTCGGATACTCGTAAATATTGAATTTAGGGCGTACTTTGTAGGTGCGCGAGTGTGTTGTACTCCCTCCGTTCGTAAAATATAAATATTTTTAGATTTTGACATAATCTTCGAAATATATATATATATATATATATATATATATATATATAGGACACTCATATGGGGCACCATGGTATCTAATGCACAAAATTACTCAAATTTTTTAAAATTTTCAAATTGTGAGTATATACCTAGTTATAATAATTTGATTCATACCTATACTTATCAACAAAACAACTCAAATTTAACTTTATTTCACAATCCATGATTACATACCTAACTAATTATATGTATGGATGCTATATACCTAGAATCAAAATCTAACAAAAACAAGTTCAAATTCAGTTCAAACTTGCTTTAAACTAGTTAGTAAAGTAGTTAATGTTAATAACTAAGTAATTGAAAAAGTTTCATACTCATTTGAATTGGGTATATACTCAATTTCAACAATGGTGCCCGGGCACCATGGAGCACCAAACAAATTTACTATATATATATATATATATACATATATATATATATATATATATACATATATATATATATATATATATATATATATACATATATATATATATATATATATACATATATATATATATATATATGTGTGTGTGTGTGTCTAGATTTATTAACATGTATATGAATGTGGGTAATGATAGAAAGTCTTATAATATGAAACGGAGGAAGTAATACTTAATTAATTATTATACGCTAACGAGTCACTCTATTTTCGCTAATCGATTAATTATACTATTTTTCAGAAAAAAGAAATAGTTAGGTGACGTGGTGGGCCGGCCCACCGCACAAATGAACGGGCCAATGGGCCTTGGTCGTAGGCCCTTATGGAGTAAACAAGGAAAAAAGTAAAAGTGAAAAAAAGGTAAAGATAAAGTGGGGAAATTGGAAAAAAAAAAAGGAAAGCCGGTATATTTGGAGATAACGTGCAGAGGTGGGGAGGTCAGGTCTTTGACCAATAATATCTATGAAAGTAATATATTTAAAATAAAAAAGAGTTACATATTAGGATAATTTATTTAATGATAAACTTAGTAACATCAATTTTACATGATTGATCTTTTTTATCTTTTTGCTATTATTAATAGTCGAAGTTAAAAGGTTTAACTTGTCACTATTCTAAAAATGTTTATATTTTGAAAAGGAGGGAGTATGTGTATAGTAGTAGTGTGCGCATCTTATGTGTAATAAAAATTATACTAGTACAAGTACGCACATGTGGATGGATGGATGCAGGCCAATCCACAGATAATTTCACTATCACAGGACAACACATCAGTGCCTCCTCATCAGTGTCGGTTGATAAAACCCAACACCGATGGTGGTTTTCTGAAAAAAAAAAGTTTGAGTTATACATATGCTTCACCCGGCAATGATAAGAAGACATTAGTACTGGATCTTATAATCATCCGACACTTATTGTTCGGTGACACATCAGTACCAGGTCTTTCCACTAATTAACCGTCACGGATGAGTAACATATAAGCGACAGATCTTACCCCTTGGAGCGAGATGACCGTACTTTTGGCTAAAGAAGATAATCAGTGACAGGTCTTTAGAATACCCGGCACTTATACTAATCACATCGGTGCTAGGTATTCTATTGACCCGGCACGAATGACCCTAACCTTATTAGTGCAAATTTTGGATATATGAACTTAACTTTATCATACGAATTCGGATTGTGACAAATTTATATATAAATTTTAGCTCTCGCTAAAATCTATTATTTTGTAGTTGACAAATTTTTCATTCAGATACTCAAAGTCAAGATTCAAAATCTCAGTTAGGAAGGCTCAAAAGGGAAAATATCCATTTGCTAACAAGATTGATGTGTAGATGACTTGGTAAAGATACGTGCATGTGAGGTAGAGTCTCAAGTTCAAATCCTATCAATTTGAAGAGTCATATACAACTTGTATAAATAGATATTTGTGGTTGGGGCTTTGTATATACATGAGTACAGATGGTACACAATACCCGTCACAGATGAGCTCATATCAATACTCAGTCTAGAGAATACATAACACAAATGAGTCTATCTAGATTCCACCTAGGTGCTTCCAGGCCCATCTGTGTCAGGTCGGAACCCGACATTCATGAATGGGGGTCATCAGTGCTGAAAGTTTTGTGCTGTGTCTAATTTCGGTACTGATGTTAGTTACGAACCGACACTAATGTTATTTTTTGTAGAAGTGTTCGTGGCCCACTAGAGTTAATTGAATGAATTTGTAGTAGTATTTGTGGCCCACTAGAGTTATTCTTTTGATGTAGCTTTAACCTCCAGAGTTTGATAAAGTCCTAAACTTGGCATGGGCATTAAATGCTAATTGTGTGGCAGACGACATACTCGTCAAGAATAAGACATATGTTAGTCTAGCCTCTAGAATAGGGTACCCCTAATGGGCGATCGCTCGCCTGGGGGTGGGGGTAGCGATCAATTCCCCCCCCCCCTCCCCCTCCCTCTCTCCACCTAGTTTCCTTTTTTGGCACTGCATTACTTTTCTATTTTAGTAAATTTATGCACCTAAAGTTTATATATCTCAAGTTTACACATCTAAAGTTTAGAGACCAAAAGTTTATAAGTCAAAAGTTTATATATCCGATTCAAATTTGAATTTGAATTCAAATATTTTTTTTATATATAGTATTTTTGTACATCTAAAGTTTATACACCTAAAGTTTATAGACCTAAAGTTTAGAAGTCAAAAGTTTATATACCCGTTTCAAATTTGAATTTGAATTCAAATATCCGATTCAAATTTGAATTTGAATTGAAATATTTTTCATATATAGTATTTCTATACATTTAAAGTTTATACACCTAAAGTTTATAAACCTAAAGTTTATATACCCGATTTAAATTTGAATTTGAATTATATCTGATGCAAATTTGAATTTGAATTCAAATATTTTCTATATATAGTATTTCTATACATCTAAAGTTTATACACCTAAAGTTTATAGACCCAAAATTTATAAGTCAAAAGTTTACATACCCGATTCAAATTTGAATTTGAATTCAAATTTTTTATATATAGAATTTCTATACATAAATTTTTCTAACTTTTGTTTTTCAAAAAATTTTGTGTGGTCTACTGCAGTAGAAAGAGGAGAAGGAGAGGAGAAAGGGGGAGAAGAGGGAGGAGTACATCTAGTAGTATAGGGGAGAGGGGAGAGGGTGGGCGGGTGGGGGAGCGATCACCCGCCCATTAGCCTTTCCGTTTAGAATTATGCTCATAATGATAGGATGTGTATGCATGTGTTTATAGTACTGAGTGTGCATATATTTAAATGAGCTTTTTATTTTTAAGAAAGAACTAAAATAATTAAACTTTAAATTAGTGTATTTAGTTAAACTAAAAATCACTCTTGCCCATCCTAGCTACGTATATATACGCACTATCAATCAAAAAGAAAGAAATTGGAAAGTGAACACTCGCCTGCCAAAGCACGAGCAGCTGCGATCTCTGCCCTCGTGGTCGTGGGGTGTAGCATTGCTTCCCGTCGAACAACCGGCTTCCAAATCGCCGGTTTCCACACCCACATCGTCAACTCCTGTCGGAGAGCCGGTTTCCTCACCGAGCAGCTCGCGTCGGCGAGCAACATCCACACCGAGCAGCTCGCATAGGCGAGCAACATCTCCTTCCTTTGCTGCTGCTACTACACTGGCCGGCTGGCGATCGCGTAAGCTCGACATGATCGATCGATCGAGTCGAGATATCAGAGAGCCAACGAGAACACCCTCGATCTCGTGCGTTCGTCGTCTTTGAAAATACACGAGAGTCGTCGTTACTACACCCGGCGAACTGGCGAAGTATATCAAGGCACATGGCACAACCCAACATCCCGCGAATTGAATGAACCTTCCGACGGGGAGATGCATCTAGCATATTTTATATTTGGTTTTTGTTACCATATGTTTTATTTTAAAATGTCAAATGGTATGTTTCATCTAAAGTTTTTTATAACGAAGTTGCTATAAAATATCAAATAAATCAATGTTATAAATTTGTACTAATTAAAACCCAATTAATTAATCACATGCGTCAATGGTTTTCTTATTCTGTGTACTTAATTAATATACTCATCGTCACCTCTTGTTACACATATCATCGTCAGGTGAGCTGGAGGAACGTACGTACGGCTGGCTAGTGGCTGAACATTACTAGATATGCACGCTTCAGAGAGGGACCAAGTCTTCCTCCATGATTGAATTGGTATTTACCTGATTTTATTCTCAAGCTGTCCGTTGACAGGGTAGGGGCTCCATTATTCGATTATGAAAATATGACTCTTTTTTTTCTTGCACTAGCTAGTCCACTCTATAGGGATGGTTTAATTTGTTGACCGCTAAACTTTGCCACGACACAGTTTGTAAGGCTTGTGTGTGCTTTACTGCATAAGGCTTGACACACTTTGTTTTTAACAGTAGAACCGGTTATCACAAATTCAAATTTTAATCGGTACTGTATTTAGTTCCCTATATTGGATTGAGTCAAGCCCAGCAGATTCAACGTCGCTGTGTTTGCTTAGCGAGAAATCATTGTGTCGTAGCGTTTCACAACGAGCTCAAGTTGGCCGCATTAATGACATGATTCATGATAATTAGCACAGATTAAGAGGTATTAACCTGTATCAAACTATATTAAGGATTAGCATGATAGATAATCTCTAATAAACTGCTTTTAATATAATTAAAAAATTCTCCTACTAATTTTTTTATGTCCATACACGGTAGAGAAACACTTTTTACTCCCGGTTTGATGACACTCTCTCTCGTGGCCCGATCTTCTGGTGAGGGGATAACTCTCGCTTTGATCGAGTGCGACATTTGCGACGTGGCTACCAACCAGAACAAGTCCAGGACACCGTGCAATCGCTACACCACAAACGATGCCGTACCAACCGCGACGCGCGGTTGATGATCCCTGCAATGCAAACGAGAGAACACTGCAAGAACAAGATAAGATGCAATCTAAATATTGCGAATAGGTGATTAAGCACAAAGAAATAGTTGCGATTGAAGTGGTAGGTCTAATCGACCCGGCAAATCAATACACCAACTATTGGGGGCTCTGAATCAATAGTCGCCGACTAATCGAAC